AAGATGATTAAAGGTGACATGTTTCACAAATCTTGGATGTTGGCTAATAACATTAATACAAGAATGGTTAAAGTCAACATGAGGATGGTTATACTCAAGTAGGTTGAATGAATGGAGGCGGCACCCGCTGCCTCAAGTGAAGACACTGAGTGTGACTGATGCCTTGACCAATATGGCAGCACTTTTCTCTCAGTGACTTCATCCTCTTTGGTTGATCCCTCTATAATGTGCATAATAAATAAAACAATAGTATAAATCCTGCATTTATCTATAACCACCGTTTGTTCGTAATTAGCTGCGGCAACTGCGGCCTTGTTGCCCTCACCAAGATGGCGGCCTGGCTTCACGCGTCTCTGTTACATACACAGCAAACACCGCCTCCATCCATTCAACCTCCTTGGTTATACTCACTACAAAAGGTGAGTAAAAAACAGAAACAAACCAGATCTTAAATAAAAGACATTTCCTTCAATTTAACATTTTAACACTAGGAAATAATATTATTGTGTTATGTGAGTATATTATGAGGTTTAGATAGAACAACAGAACCTTCAAAAGCTACAAAGCTTTGGGTGAACTGTGTGGACTGGTAAAGTTTCGATGATGGACAATGATATAGCTAGAGTACTGTAATCATCATAAGTTGGCCCCAACAGGCACCAACCAACACTGGTAACAGTTTTATTATCATGTCACTGTACAGTATATATAAATATATGATAGGTACTGTATAAAGGTTTTGGGAATACCTGTACAGTACTTTCTGAATCTTTAAACCCTAAATTTTAATAAAAAAAAATGTCTATACTGTACTGTATATACCCGTAGTACAGCACAGTTGTATAGCATATAACTACTGTACAATAAATCTTCTAGTTCAGTATTTATGTCTGTACAGTATCAGGATATATTTTAACCCACTACAGAGCATTTTGCTACAAATTTTGTAGAATAAATGTTGATCTACTCATTGAGTTCTGTCCTATAATTATATGAAGCAGTTGGCTTTTCAAATTTAAATTTGGGTAAAAAAACATACAAATACAGTGGAATCCATATCATTTAAGCAAGGGAAAATAAGTCAAACTAACCTAACTTCCTAAACTAAGTTAAGTTGGTTTTGGTTGGATGATTTTGGCTTGTTTTGGAAGACGTGCAAGATACAACTATTGTTCATAGCTTCATGTACTGCTATGACAAAAATAGACCACAATACCAATCTTCATAATTACCAACCTTTAGCAGTAAACCTCTAATTTGGAACAATTACTTCCAAAGTGAACTCCTGCCTTCATCCAATTTATAAACTATTGGTTCAAGATATAGGCCTAGTGCTGTTATAAATTGTACACAGCCTATTAAAAACAAGTTTTTCCACACTACTGTACCTTGTTATGTATGTACAGTGCTCATTTCTACTACCCTTAACATCAATCTTAAATGAATGTACTGACCAGCCTGGATAGCCTTAGCTACTAGTTAGTGACAAACTGGTCTCCCCCAAGGCATTTTAAGTACTGTACAGTAATACTGTATATAGTAAAGGAGGAAACTGGAGGATTTGAAGAAAACCTGCAACATTTAGTTGGGTCACACTGGACAACAAATACAGTACTCTTCGTGCAGCCAACCTAAACAGGTACAGGTGGTCCTCATTATCCGAGTCATCAATATCCATGGTTTCACACTTACGAGGTCAAATTATTGCTGAACTACAGCCACTCCTCGACTTACGAAAGGGTTTGGGACCCAAATCCAGGTCGTAAGTTGAAAATGCAAAAAAAATACATAGAAAATCTAAACTGGGTGTCTCTTTTTCTTCTAAGCACCACAAAACTCTCACTTTTAAGCTTGCCAGCCATTTTAAATGGAATTACAAACGAAAATTTTGTCAGTATACAGCGCAATCACAAATGCCGGGACTCGAAAATATGTAATTTTAAATATTTTTGGTACGACTGGGGCGTTCGTATGTCTGGGTGGTCGTAAGTCGAGTGGGTCGTAAGTCGAGGAGTGGCTGTACTATGTACGTAAAAAGTCCCTGCACTCACTCACGAGGATTAATAACTGTGAAGCACAGAAGTCTCAACAGAGAATGATTCAAATCTCTCGCTATACTGCCGTGCATCCCCACCACATTCATCTCCCATACAGTTCAATTCCTTTTACCCAAACTCCTAGGGACCAATGATGGTTTGGATACCTAGTGTTATGTGTAAGGCAGGCATGGCAGTGGTAATTGTAAGGTAATAATAATACATGGAAAGAAGGGTCCTTCTGTTTACTTGGCAGCCATGTACCTCTCTACTTGTTTAACACAAGAACATCAGGATGCGCAGTTAGCTTTTCATTTAGACTTATATCACATAACAACTAGATGTGCCTACAAAAACATGCAATAATTAACATTCGATCAAAATTTGATTTCGTGGCAGCTTGATCCACTGGGAAAGGGAAAAAACTGGGGATGAGGTGGCCTGTAAGATGGCATGTTGCTATTGTTACTTGTAATGAAACTATAAAAGTTGTGGAATAGTCATAGTAATACTTTAATATGGCTTAGAAATAAAAAATATATATACAGTAATATAAAGAGCATGGGTATGGGAAGTGAATGTATGTAAGGACTCAGTGGGCAGTAACTGCATCACTGACTAGCCACCCATTGTACCGCCTGGTCTGCACTCCTGAAATTACATAACCATCCTCGACACCGATTCCTACTTCCACCTGAGATCCCCCGTCCACGAATTACTGTTCGACACCACAACCACATCCAGCCCTTCGAGCACGTACTGATCGCAAAAAGAACATCCCAGTACCAACCATTGTAAAAATTATCAACAACTCACGATCAATCAGTTTATTCACTCCCAGCCAATCTTACCTTTTTGCACTGTTACTATGTTGAAATGCCCTATAGTATAACCTTCTTCCCACTATGTTATTATATATCATATTTGTATCACTTATGTTACAGGGTACTTGTATGTTATGTGTCAATCAAGTGACCCATTCCCCAATTACTGTATATAACTGTATATTTTCAGCCTTCTGGCTGCCATGCTCTTTCAATAAACCATTAATTATTATTTACCAATTTTGTTCCATTCTTGACTTACTCACACTAATGGAATTTTCTTTGTAAGTAAACAAGAATAACAATAGTTACAAAATAAAGCTATATAGATCGTGACAAAGAAATATGAAACACAAAATGGCATAAAATTAACTACGAATAAAACCTACATAAACCAACCATAGTTAACCCTGGGTCACTATTTTGTACAGTACGTAGTTTCCAGGCATCACCATCTCTTAAGAGTGGCAGAGCACCATGTTGTCATCATAAAGCATCAGTGAAAACCGGATCATAACCCTTCCTTTTCACAAATTCAAACTTGTTTTTTCTTGCTCCTTCACCAAATTTGTACATGCATTATACACACACTAAATGTCCATGAAAATACCAAACAAAAAATTTCAAATGACCCTCTTTGTCACTTTTAACCACTCTCGACAAACACTGCTTGTTAATTTGTAACCATAAAACTGTCTGATAGTACAGTAACATGTTATACTGTATACATGTTACTGTTAAAAGGAAATACCAGTGCCTGCACCTCACCAATATAAGGTAGTACAGTACAGGTACAAGGTACCTAATATCTTATTATAACACCATCCTATGATTAATTTCTGTTGAAAACATTATTTTCTCTAGAATACCCACAAATTACTTTCCCTCTTGACAATGCCTATGAGCCTTAAGCACACTAGCAAATTAAAATAAATTATCAATAAACTATAAGAGATTTGGGTGGGAATTATTTGTCAAGCACTGGTGCAGTAATACTGTACATAACAACCACCAAGTGCTGTACAGTATCAACTTTGGAGATTTTTCTTTATAAAACATCTGTTGCTTGAATATCCTTGTTGACATGTCTGGTATCAAACTAAAAAATACAAATATATTTTTAATTTAATTTGGAAACAAAAACTAAGCTGTGGCCTCTGCACCTTTGGAGCAAACATCACTAACCTATGAGTCTAGCAGGAACTAATTCTTGAATACTGCCATATCTGAGATTATTTGGTTAAAAGCAGTCACAATTCAGTAACACCTTTTGTGATTTGCTCAATATTGAAGGCATGGAGACCTACAGTACTTGCCATTTCCCAAGTACAATTCAAAGTTGATGTTTTTATCTAATTTCTGATGAGTTTAGTACCAGATCCATGAACAAGTAGCTAACAATACCAGTACATTCATGTATCAAATCCAGTATTCTGTAATCAAAATCCTACAAACAACTATTTTAGTGATCCAGTAGTAAAAAATTTAAGAATTTGTAACATTCAAGTTAAAGCTTGGGTGACAATGCTCACTGGTTCAATCCAGCTTAACTTTGATATATTCACCGGTCATATGCATGCAGGCATTCGTATGGTATAATGAAAGGTTATGCATATCAGGTTTCATAATTGTAAACTAGAAATAAAAACTAAAAAATATGGTTCAAACATGATAATTGACAATGCTTAAATAAGACAATACCTGATAAACTTTGGGTACAGTCACTACACATGTTTTAAAAAGGGTACCTGACTGCTGTACTGGTCCATGTACTGCTGGGTATGGGGGTACCTGACTGCTGTACTGCTGGGTATGGGGGTACCTGACTGCTGTACTGCTGGGTATGGGGGTACCTGACTGCTGTACTGCTGGGTATGGGGGTACCTGACTGCTGTACTGCTGGGTATGGGTGTGAAGACCATGAAAACCCTAATAGCCCCACCTCCATTGTATGAGGGAACAAAGTTAACATTTTTTGCTGAAATGGGCGTTGAGTAGTACTATTTGACTGTCTATGAGTAGTGACCTACGCCTCTTGTGTACAGTGAAGTAATTAAAGCACAACAACATGAGAATAAAGTTGTAGAGAGGGAGGGTGTGGGTAGGTAGCCGTGAGTCCGCCCCGCCTGCAGTGTCTCACCTTCACTGTCTGGCTGGCGGATTTGTCCAGAGGTTCGAAAGGCTGCCCCTGCTGCTGCAATGACTTCTGTGGACTGACCGTAGCGGCCGCGCCCGCCATGGCTGGTGGTGACGCTGCAGCGGTGGCAGCGGCAGCAGCAGGAGGTTCTTGAGGATGGGTGTCGGGGCGCGGGCCTGTCGACGCCATCTCACCGCAAGCGCCCACGCCCACACTCACGACACTGTACGCCCACAGAAGCCACTAAACCGGGCGAAAGACCCTATAGCTCCCCATCTTTAACACTAAACACAAGAGGGCGTCGCCTTTTGTGTGTGCACCGTGCATCACTTCTTGGACATCTCCATTCCTCCTCACTCTCTCACAAATGGTTCCAATAATGCATTGTATCTCACAACTATATGCACACATAATCCAAGAAAAAATATGTCACAAGTTACTATGTTAAAATTTTATGTTGAATAAAAATTATTATCTACACTGTGGTCATAATTTTATAAGTAATAATAATGATGTAAGCATTACACTTTGTCTAGCTGGGCAGCTCGACAAACGTCCCCCCCTCGCCTGTGTGGCTCAGGTGGGCGGGCCTTTCAAACCACATAACCCCGAACTTTGAAGCATCACACTGTAAATACCATATACTGAATTTACATACATTTGACTAAATCTATAAAAATGTTAACGTACTTTTTTGTGGCTCAAATATTTATTAAGTTGTAAGTAACATTGGAAAAAATTTGATTCAGGAAATTTGTTTAAAAAATGCAATGTGTCGTGAAGGCTCAGCGCTTCATTCATTATCTGCTTCATGTATCTGGTGATATTCGAATTCTGAAGTATATGTACAATACAGTTTGTTATCCACTTTTTAATTGTCTAGAAGTGTTAGTAAGATAAAAGATAAGTTTTAGCATTCAACTCTATTATTAAATTCTTTATACGGTTAACAGTAAACACGGTTATTGTTACCGTTGCAAGTAAATGATCGTGTATGTACAGTCTGGGTCAAACGACTTGAACACTACACTTAGCAATATCTGACATCTACTTCTGAGTTATACATATATGATTGGGATATACTAATAACACTACTTGTCATCACATATTATGCCTGAACCGCAAAAGTGGATAAAACTCTTTTTAATACTGTCAAGTGTTCAGGACTTTTGACCCCGACTGTACACTGTACTATAATTCAAACCAAATTGCTTAATAGACAGTTTTACACCATAAATCACATATCACTATTGACTAAAGCAGATATAATGAAGTCGACCAGCCATTTTAGTTTCCATTTATCATAAACAGGGAAATTGTGCTTCAGGGATAGACTATTTATTGCTGTGGAAACAATAGCCAATGTATTGGGACATAGGTACTACATAATACTGTATATAATAAGGTATTCAGTTTTACGAGAGGTTACATATCAACGTAGAGGACTTTAACTGGAGTCGTGCGTTTACCTCAAATAATGTCCTTCTGAATATAATCATTAATCAATACATAATATCCACGAGTTAAATGAAATTAAAATCCACAAGACAAGCATAACATTCATAATATCTCCGCATATGTATGCATAAAAGATAAAATATATTGTGCACTTTATACTTGAATAAAGATTGCAGAAAAGGTTTATTAACCCAAAAACAACGAACTTAAAAACAAATCTTAACAAACCCGAACATATCGTAGAAAACGGGTTCTCTGGCTACCGTGTTGAGAGATTGCAAATTAAGTCAATACAGGTGGTACTCCAACGACCTAAGTTGTACCGCACACCTCCTCAAGGAGAAATTGAAGGTTTATTTGCCTTTAATCATTAATTTTTAGTATTTGTGAAACTTATGACGGACTTAGGAAATTATTAGCTAGGTATAAAACAACTGTCAGTAGATAACTGAATAATACTGTACAGTATATCGAAACGTACTGCAAGAGGAAATCCAATATGAACGCAACTTTATCTAATTATAAAATTAAACTAAAGTGTAGATGGGACTGGTGGGATAATAATTAAAACATTGAATAAAATCATAACTGTTCTGAAATAGAGCAATAGAACCAATCCCATGAAGGTGCCTCATATTTCTAATGAAGTTACAGTATAAATATAATCGTATTTGTACTGGTTTTCCTAAATGAAGTTATTTGAAAATGAATACTGCACATATGAATGAACTGTTGGAGTAATTGATTGGACGTGTTTTAAGGAACTATCTGACAAGCACTAAAATTATATTGTCTTTAGGCTATACTGTACAGAATTTTAATATGTATATTCACAAAACAGGACAAAATACGTAGACCATCTGTGGTTGCCAAGAGTCGCGACTAGTAATTCTAGTAGTTTTACGCGCTAAAGGTTTTTGGGTGTAATGATGGTGGGTGTGAGGTAGAGGCGCTGGATGTGCTGGTCATGATCCTTAATACCCCGGCCGCGCCCATACTGCCCCTCCAGCATGAGGTACTACTTAATAACAATTAAAAATTTCCCCTTGCCTTTTCTGGGTATACTGTTCGCGGCGGGAGAATAGATGTATTACCAGAAACTGTGACGCATTCAATTTATAAGCGCCACGGAAAATTACCGTCCAGATGTACAAATAATGTATGTAGACTACTTTTTACTTTTACTTTTATCCTCTTCGCCACTGATCGCCTCGTTAGCCGCTTGGGAGGTCGGTCACGTCTCTGATACGCACTGTTGGCAGATAATGGGGATGCACTGGCTCCTGAATATATCGGAACCTGTTCCAGTGTTGGTCAAGTTTAGTCTTGAAAGAGATCACACTCGGTGCCGTCACAACGCTCTCCGCCAGATTGTTCCAAGAGTTTACAATTCTCACTCCGAAAAAATTTGGCTTCATAGTTTTCTGGACTTGTGGCTTCTTCGATCTTGAGCCGTGACCCCTTGTGGGGCGGACGTCCGCCAGCTCCAAGTATACACATTCGACTGAGTAGTGCCCCTCGAGATATTTATATACTTCGATTAGGTCGCACCTCGACCGCCTGTGGTATAAGTTCGGTAGTTGCAAGCGATCCAATCTTTCTGGGTAACTGAGGTTCCGAAGAGTAGGCACCAGTCTGGTGGCCCTCCTTTGGACATTTTCAATCAATTGACAATCTCTAGCAGACCTCGGGGACTCAATACGAGGAAGCACCTCTCATGAAGATCGTGACGAGTGACGAACCATCCAGATATCTAGACGGCCTTCTTAAAAGAATATAAGACCTAGTAGTTTCGTTGCCTTTTTTTTCTTTTGCGGGATTAGTCCACCAGGGCACAGGTCGTGGGCACGGAATTCGGGGAAATGTCCTAGCGTGGATAGAAAACTTTCTGCATGACTGCAAGCAGTGTGTGGTGATCAATGGCACGAAATCATCATCCGTACCTGTCACAAGCGGGGTACCAACCACAGGGCAGTGTATTGGGCCCGCTGTTGTTTGTTTGTTTCATAAATTACATGCCTGACGTTGTACAATCCTCCATACAAATGTTTGCCGATGACGCCAAGTTATTTCGGGAAACCAAGAACCAAGCGGACTGTGAAGAGCTGCAGAAGGACCTCTGTGGGCTCCAAGAATGGTCGAAGAAATGGCTGCTGAGATTAAATGTCACGAAGGGTAAGAGGATGCATCTGGGGCGTACCAACGGTAAGGAGGTGTATCATATGTCCCAACAGGATGAAGAAACTGCACTATTTGAGACTGAATGTGAGAAGGACCTAGGTGTGTATGTTGACAATGAGCTGAAGTTCTCGGGCCATTGCGAGAAGAAGGTAAATCAGGCAAATAAATTATTGGGTCTGCATGTGTTCTGGGTATCAAGTTCTATTTCCTGGATAAACAGATACACAAGGGAGGTGGCGCTCCTTACTCTGTCTGGGGGTCAACTAGCCTTTTAGGGCGACATGTGGTAAGTGATACATTAGCAGCTTCCATATGTCGCCAGGCACATTAATTAAGAGTGTGGGACATGGTAAATACATTGCCACATGCTGCTAGCTAGGCTGAATAAATAATGTATATAAATGGAGCACATACATAATATACATACATAATATACATACAGCATACATAGTATACATACACCTCCCTCCTCCCTATACGCTCATAGCAAAGTCTTGAGCGGACCTTTTCTTTTGGATCCATTCTGAGCGTCGAGGGACTTGATCACTGGGAAGGGTATGGGACTCAACACTGGTGGCGGGGTCAGCAGAAGGCGTTGTTAGGGGGCGGAGGAAACGGCGGTTCCTCCACCACACACGACCACTGGGTAACCGCACCTGGTAGTCCCGTGACCTACCGAGACCCATGCCTACGCCCACTTTGTCCCAACATAGGGAGGTCGGGTCCTGAACACGGACTTGGGTGCCGACACTCAATCTGGGGAGAGAACGGGCATGGTCGTTGTAGCGGGCGACGACGTCTTGAACACGTTCGGCGGCTCGGCGATCACAATCCTCTGTCTTGGCCTGCCACTCCTTGGAGAAGGATTGAGGGTGAGCAGGGACACAAGAACGAAAGGGGCGTCCATACAAGACCTGGGCAGGGGAGCGTCCGGTGTAGTTAGGTGTGTTGCGGAGTTCAAGGAGACCCCGGTTGAAGGCCTTGCAGTCAATATTCCCAGAAGGGGCCACCTTAAGGATGAGGTGCTTCAGGGATTTGACAGCAGCCTCAGCGTGGCCGTTGGACTGCGGGTAATGGGACGATGATAACACATGCCGGACTCCTCATCGGTCAAGGAACACAGCAAAGTCCCGGCTTGTGAACTGGGGCCCTCCGTCGGTTCGCAGGCGCACAGGAACGCCCACGTCACGGAAGTAATGGCGGAACTTGCTGATGGTGGCGGCAGACGTCGTGTCATTACTGCACTTGATGACAACCGGCCAACCAGAGAGACGGTCGACGATAACAAGGAAGGACTTTCCTGACACAGAGAAAAAGTCGGCCGACACAGACTCAAAGGGGCGGGTGGGGTTGGCGTCACTCATGAAGGGTTCCTGCTGCTGGCTGGGTTGCAGTACTTGGCAGGGCTCACACACACGGACAACATTGGAGATGTCAGAGTCGATGCCGGGCCAGAACACAGTCTGTCGTGCACGTCGTTTGGTGGCCTCAGCTCCACGGTGACTGTTGTGAAGGCGAGCCAAGACGTGGGGACGTGAGGCAGCAGGGACAACTACACGTGCTCCGTACAGAACAAGGTCCCCGTCGCAGTAGAGTTCATCGCGGAGTTTCCAATACGGGAGCAGGGTGTTGTGAAGGTCGTAGCGGTTGCTAGGGAATCCATTCCTCACACACTCGACGAGTCGGACGTAGGAAGGGTCATCTTGGGCCGCTGTTCGAAGGTCCTCCATTGCCTTGTCGTCAT